CGCTCCAGAGCTTTCGGTTAAGGATTTTTTATAGAAGTTATCACCCTCACGGATCAGCCGATTAAGGCGAGACTCCCGCTCCTGTGAGACACGTCCACTGGCCTACGGTATAATGATAATGAGCGAGATACTTGATATTTATTTTAATGAGCGAGATTTCAAACCATTCGATAGATCAATTGGAAAAAATGGCCGCTAGAATCGTGTGCTACTGTTGCGATCAGAAAACCGTTACATGTACGTCACTATGATGTATGGGCAATTACGCGATTTCAGATTTCGCAAAATTACGTGGGAAGCGTAAGAGATAGAGAAGGAAAATACAGATGTTACTTCTGTCGCACCTTTAACAGCCGTAGTACAACAGGCCGATGAAGCAGACCCAGACGATCGTCATCTTGAAGTAGCTTGTCGATTCTATGCACATCACAAAAAAAACTTGCGTTCGACCGCTAATTCAGGAGGCAAAAATTAATCTGCAGCCCCTGTTGCTCGCGAACGTTTCCCATAATCATGTCGAGAGTGCGTTCGCCTTCGGAGCGCTGTCTTTACCCGGAATTTCTAAAATGACTCCGCCGTTCAACGCGCGACGCCAGCGAATGTCAGTGATACCTATCTCTTTAAGGTTGATGGTCCGCGCTTCCCCGTATTTTCCTTCCGATCCAGAGCTGACGGGTGCCTGTCTTGGCGCTGTGGAGTTGGAGGGTGTAGATTTTCCTTGCCTACCTGCTGGGTCGGTGGTGTCGCTCTGCCTGCCATTTTCTTTTTCTCCTCTCTACTTGCCTTCTTGCCTATCACTTTTGACCATTCAGCTGTCATTGGTTGTTGACGTGGTTGGCAGTGGAGTTGGAGGTGCCTGGGCTAGTATCTTTGATCGTACCAGCGGCAGACGGGCGTCTACTGTTGATGGCGTCTGGGGCTTCGCCACCCTTTCCGTTTCTTGGTTGCTCTTCTTTGGACCAGAGGTTTTCTGCTTTACGGTCTGACTGCGTTCAGAAGCTCTTCCTTGAACTTAGGACAATCGTTCCTCAATCATCTCCTTGATGGTGCGGGAGTGATCCGGGTTTGCGCGGTGTCCTTTTTTTTTGCTTCACGTCAGTCTTGCTCGCTTTGTGGAAGGCTGCCCGCGTAAATGGAGGCTGCTTTTCCGGTTGGGAGCCGGGCATATCCCCTTCTCCTGCTCTGTTGCCGGGTTTCGCGCCGTCCTGCTGTTTTAACGGCTTGCTACGAGGCGCTGTTATCTAGCCTAGCTAATCTCTCCTTCAGCTCGAGGAGGCGAGCCCTGAGTCTGACGTTTTCTTGTTCTAGCGCAGTTTCGCTGCCAGAGATGCTGATTCGCTTAGCCAGCTCAGTGGTGGCAGGTTTCTGTGCTCCAGCTCCTTCCCTGATCAGCCTCTTGTGGGTGCCCTTGAGATTTGTGGAAGATGCAGCAACCTTCTCATTGGTTTGGGCCTTTCTAATAATGAGGGCGACAGCATTCGCATCTCGTCCGCTAGCTTCTCCTGGTAGGGAGGAATTTGCACGATCTGGGGGGAGTTTCACTGCTGGATTGAGGAGGTATTCCCTTTTTTCATTTTCTGATTCTGGAGGTGCCGCCGATTTTTTTTTTTTTTTGCTCTCCATCGGATCATTCTCTTCAGAAGAGCTTATGCGGTTCCTCTTATTGCTTTTTCTCCTAGGCATTCTGATCGGGAAAGATGAGTCGGACGAATCCGACTCGCTCTCATTAATCATTGTCAGGTTGTTTGTTATAGCTTCCCGACATGCTCCGGTTTTGTTGGTGGTTGGGCGAGGTTGGTTGTCCACCTGCCTGTTTTCGCCGTCGCTAAATAACAATCTGGGGGGAGCCCATTCGTCACTCCCCTTCGAACCGGATCTGGGGGTTCCGCTGTCCCCTGAACTAGTAGGTTTTTCACTTTTCCCATTGTTTTCCATGTTTTTATCTATTTGGTTTTTCTTCCTAGTAACACTCTGCGTGTTGGGCCTAGGGTCCGCCCTGCACACAGTTTTCTCGCAGGCGTCGGATGACGATGCAGCGAGGGCCTGCTTGCTCGCCCTCATTGCACCGAGCCTGGGGCTTCCGAATTCCCATGTGCCGTCTGTCATGTTTAGAACCCAACCTAACCGATAAAATATACTTAACTGATAAAAGTAAATAATATAATGAGAAGAACTATAAGCAGATACTTGAGCACATGTTATATCGTTTAATAGGTAAAAACATTATTACGCAGTAGGATAACGACCCTTATTTAAATTGTGTAAAGGCAAAAAGCATTCTTGTTGTTGCAAAAACAAACACAGAGGGGGGGGGGGGGTTCTGATGAACATGAGATGGCCTTATGGGAGTAGCTCGATAAGAATGTCTGAATCCACCGCTCAACATCGAAGAAACACGTTTGGCAAATTCTACAAGAAGCGTGGAAAAATGTAAAATTGGAAACAATTGAAAAACTCATCGCCAGGATGTCTAGAATATGCCAAGCACTCATGAATGTATCAACATTATCGACTGTAGATCCTCAGGTAATGTAACGCCCGCTTCTGCAAGTTACTCGACTTTATTCTCAAAATTAATTAAATGTTGCATCACAGTTACTGAGGGGTCCTTTTGCATTCTATATAGTTGCTTACATAAGGTAGCTTTTCTTACCGGTCCTGTAGATCTGAAGATTTTTTTCAAACTCTCATGCTTCTCTGGAAGTCTCGGCTTTCTTCACGTGATTCAATTGATTTTTCGATAGGTTTAATATAATTAATGTAAGTGTCTTTTGATTCTTCTTGTTCCATGGGACGCTGTTTTAATTTCACTTCCGTTTACGTATTCTCATAAATCGTGGCATATCAAAACATTTTTCATGGTGAATGTTCGCCATGTTTCATAATTTTCGTCGGTTAATTTTTCAATGCTATGAACGCCACCGGCGATTGCCGTAATTTCACTAATTATAATTTTTATTTTTGCACAACTTTGAGGTCTGGGCCCATAACCTGTTGGGCTTAAAACTAACAATATAATATATTTGGGACAATATACTGAATGTTCGTCACACGTGAACGCAAAAAACGGTTATATGACGACTGACTGGCCTAGAAGATTCGCAGTCGTTGACCCATACACACACACATGCATACATAACGGATACATGGTGTGACTAATATGGGTCCTGATTGGTTATAGATTCTCACAGGAACAAAAACATATTTATAACATTATTTCATCGTTACAACAATAACAAAGACGATACATAATGAATAAACATAAACAACAAATAAAACAAAGTAAAAAATAATGAATTTGTGTATTTCATCATGGAAATTAAGTTAACGATAAATATTTTTATGAGATACAACAATCTTAAATTAATTAATAAGAGGTTTGATAACCCTTGGCTTTAATAACCTCTAGTAAGCGACGGGGCATACTATTTATTAATTTTTTCAAAGTATTTGCCGTAATTTCATTCCATGTCTCGACTGTTGTCGATCTTGTTCCTCTGTGTATATGCCTTGGGCGCGAAGGACCACCCACTATTATGGGAAATGACTGAATGCCACGTTATTTTGCCCTAAGTTAATGTCTGATAAGCCTGATGGCTTATAACACGTGAGTCCTAGTGGAGTTAAGAGCGGTGTACAAAATGACTGCCGAATTGTAGTCATACGAGTGATGTCCTGGCAAGATGGTGGCACGAGAAACTGACTTCGCGATCTGATTAGCTTGAAGGTACTTGAAAGAAAGATCCTGTGAAAGACCGTGTTGGCTCTTTTTATATTATTGATTACGTGATCGGGAAGGTAACATATTAAGATCAAGAGGTGACATCGGGCAGATCAGTCGTCCCATAAAACAATATTTGTAATTACCTCAGGGGCTTAACGGTGTTGCTTAGGGATGCGTCCCTTTTACAGTTATGTGTTTGTTGGCCTTGGCTGTAGGGCCACATTCCTAGCCTCTACTCCTGGCCTTAACAGCTGTAATGAAGTCCTATTTTGTTTATCTTTGATTTCTTGGAATTTCTCATTGTAGTTCATCCCATAGATGCTGTGTAGGATTTAAATCCGGGCTCTGAGGTGGCCAAGGGAGTACGGAAATTCCATTTTCTTCGAAAATTTTTTTAACTGTGCTAATTTTGTTAATTTTGCTGTGTGTTTCGAGTTGTTATCATGTTGAAACACGTAGGCCTTGTCGACTCCAAATTTTTCAATTAATTGAAATAAATTTTCATTTAATAATTCAATACATTTAGCAGCAGTCAATCTTCCATCAGTAATAGTTAAATTGCCTACTTGGCATTACATAAAACAACCCTATATCATTATATTCCCACCACCGTGTTTGACAGGGTATTATCAGTGTCTGTTTGAAAGCGTCGCTTTTTTTCCTCCATACATATTTTTTCCTTTTGTTTGAATTCAATTCGAATTTCGATTCGTTGTTTCAAATTATCAATTACCAAAATAAAATCGGTTTATTGTAATGTTTGCAAAATTTAGACGTTTTAGTCCATTCACTTTTGAAATGTATGGTCTTTTTCTAGATATCCGTCCATAAATATCGCTTTCATGACTGCGAGATTTGATTTGCGTGATTGATATTGGTAGACAAAATTTTTTTTGATTTGTTTGCAGTAATGAACGGACTTTTTTTTTACCTTTTTAGTGTATATATGTATGTATGTTTATTTAATACGTACCTTGCGGTTTCGGATGACTTCCGGTTTACAAAACAAGATATAATGAACTAGAATAACATAAAATAGTAACAAAATGATATAGAATACAGTGATGTGGAATACAATAAGATACGATATCTCTAACTTATAAACTCTGACATCTTTGTTTGTTGCACTTTTTCGGCTGTGTTGTGCTGGCTCTTCCAGGGTTTCCTTGCTTCTCCTCTTCTGTACAATTCGCCGTTCTACTCCTCCCTCTCTCTTCTTTTATCTTTTTCATTAGCGTTATCCTCTCGTCTGTTTAGTCTAAGAATTCTCTTATTGTTAAATCTTGTCCTCCTTTTGTGGTCTTGCATCTGCTCAATATGTGTTTAAAACTTTAAATTTCTTACTTTTTCCTCGTACTTGAACTCTCTTCTTACTGTTCTTTCCTTGATTTCCTCATTTTTTGTCTTCTCCACTACTATATATGTTGAATTTAGACAAATCAACGAAAATGACACGGTTTTACCATGACTCTTCTTTCGAAATCATATCTTTTACGAAAATTAAACGTCTTTTTCTATTTGTTTCATTGATGTACGGCATTTTAATAGCTACTTTCCCATTGTAACCATGTTATTTCAGTACTCGCCGAACTGTTTGTGTGCTTACACTTTTCCCATTTTCTCTTAGTTCTGCTGCTAATGCGGAAAAACTCAATCGTAGATTTTCTTTCACTTTTCGAATAATCTTCCGCTTTTCTCTCTCATTTATTATTTTTGGCCGACTGCTTTGTGGAAGTGATTCAATCTTGTCCTCGGTTTTACATCTGTAGCGTGCCGATCTAGTTCTACGTATTTTCTTTTCTTTGACGTACGAGCCGATCGGTGTCTCGCTGCCTTCAACGTTAATGAAGTGCAGCTAGTTCAAAGTAAAGTTTGATTTGTGATGTTGATTAAGGAGTGTGAATTGAATCCTACGATTAACACTTTTTTAAATATTCAGTCACAGAAATATATTGGGCACTGAACGTAAGATTAGAAAAAACAAGAGTATATATATTTTTTTTTTTTTTTGTTCTCTAAATTGTTCTTACCCTGGAATGCACTGGATTTGGAGACGCGAATCGGCAGACACGCGGGAGGGTTTTCTTATAGATTTGAAAGTGAGAATAAGACTGTTGTATTTTGTTTCGGAGTCGGCTCTTATATATCCGAGCCCCTCTTTGTTTCCTTTCCGATCCTGTGATCGGAAAGGTGGGTTTTTCCAAACATTTTCAGGGTCAGTTCCAAGAAGTAAATTTGACAATTGCTTCTTGGAATTAACGGTTCTATCTTCTGTGTCCTGCCGGTTTATTAGTGTCCTGTTTATGGTGGGGACCGATGCGATAAAGAAACTCATCGAGCCTTGGAATGAAGAGTCAAATATGTCTATAATACGGAAATGTTAGTTTGAAATATGAAATACGGTCGCGGGAGGTCCCTACCGTAGAGAAAGTTACAAGATAGGAGTTTATTGTCCCTGGCTCGATGAATTTATTTGTCGCATCACATTTTGACCCTCATT